CTGAACCAAAGCACACTAACTGGAAACATGCTGCCCTAACACTAATGATGCACACATTAGTAACAAAATTGAGAGGAATTAGCTGAAACCATTGTGACTATCACTACAAAGTCAGTTTTCAGTAGAAAAAGGCCCATGATACAGCAGCAAGTCAACAAAGCTACAGAAAACATTTGTAATAATGTTTTTAATGTTTATACCTTAGTTGCTTTCGTAGCTGCTCTAGTTCCGCATTCTGGTCTGTTATAGTTTTCAGAAACTCTTGATTGCTCTGCAAATGAGATATTTGTAACATGTTGCTTATTGTGTTTAAAGTGTTATATATTCAGAATTATTAAAGGGCATTTCCACAGAACATAATACCACAAAAATAGCCAGTAATGTCTATTTAACACTAAGGCTTGTGTCCAAGTGCCAGGGTTTATTCAGAGTATTTCAGAAAGGCAAATGCTTGTGATGTTGCCTAATCCTCCTCTTCTTTGCCCACATTTTGGTAGTGTAAGAACTTCCTGAGATGAGAACTCTAATAGTTCAGACCTAGCATCTGCATTCCCATCTAGTTTAGGTGTCTAGAATAGCTTGTCACAATGAGTACCACACAGTAGAGCACATATTCCTGGAAATAATTCCTTTGTTTTAGACAAGAAACAATGAGCAACTGCTTCTCCTTCCTTTCCTTTAGACCAGCAATAGTGCTGGATGTGTCATTCTCCTTTAACTGTCTTCTCATTTCAGAATAATCTCATATTTTTGTTACCCTACTAGCCTTTTCTAGGTCTTACATATACATATATTTAATATTGAGATATTCAAGATGACCACAACTGGAGGCAGCAAACTACTACTGTACTATGGATTTAAGCACAATATATTCCTTTTCTGCCTCTTCTAATAATTGCTAACCATCTTCTTGCTTTTATAACTCTTGCTAAGAAGTGTTTTCAGACACTTCCTATTTCTAGAATACCTATTCCAAGTCTTCACAGTTAATTTCAAGACCATCACAGAGTACCCAAAATGAAAGCTCCCTCTTGCTCACATACACCATTTTTCTTTCATTAATGTCAATAAAATGTCAGATAAAGTTCAGATACTCAACATCACGAGATCTTTCTGCAAATTTCTGCAGTTGAGTTCTCACTACCCTAAATAGTTTAACGTCAGTAGTGAACACTGTGCCTCAATACTGAATGTGCTGAACAACTCTAACCTGAACACATCTGGGAAAAAACAGCCATTGTAACACAATAAAAAACCTGACTAATTACTCTGTCTCTTCACTATTGTTCAGTTTATTATTTCAAGAAAGAGCATGCTTCTTTATCTCAGCACAGGCTTTGTGGATAATGCAAATGTATTACTTTTATCGTAATATTGCCTGCTTCATCTTGTTCAAAGAGTTTACATATTCACCTTCTCCACATTATCTCTTCCTAATTACATTATTCTAAGCTTTCAGTGATTCTATATATTTTTTTAGGTATCTACTACTGATTTGCTTTTAACAGCAGATCTGACAGTCTGTAACTTCCAAGACCGCTTTAGAAGCTCATTATTGTACTTGCTTATGATTGTTTTCAGACAGCAACCTCCCAGTAGCCCTAAGTATCCATATTCAGAGAAAAAATAATTTAGAGATGAACACTGACTACATAAAGTAAAAGCTCCTCTGCGAGTGCATTATTTTAGTTTTATTAATACTAATGAAATAGGTTGTAAACAGGACAACTGCTTGCAACATACAATTCTCTAGCCATCTGCAATATGCTACTCAACACTGGTAAAGGCTTGACTGCAGTATATTGTACTGTATTCAGCATCACAGTTCAAGAACGATGGCACAATTGGAAAGAATTTAAAGGTGAAAGGAATTATTAGACACCTTAAAAACACTGTCAAAGAACATCTAAAGATTTGACTTGCTTTGAAGAGAAAAGAAAAAGCAGGGAAAGGGAAGATGGCAATATAGTAGTTTTCAGCAGCAGAGGCATAGTGACAAAGAATGCAGTAATCTTTCTTTCACACCTAAGAATCAGGCTTGTATTTTAACAAGAGATGTGATGTGAGGAAAAAAAGGTTCCAGTGATAAACACAGAAGAGAATAGACTGCTGAGAGTAGGTTAGGAGTCTTTTTAGACAAACATTAGTCAAAAATCACACAGGAATCATGTCTTTCAGGGAAGAATCTGTTCAGCCAGGAAACTGCACCAAGTCTTTCACCTCAATTGTTCTACAGTATTAAAATTATTTGTCAATCCTGAAAGTCCCAGGGTAAAGCTTAGAGACTAACAAGTCTCACAATCTAAATAGGTAAGGCACTAGAAGATGATTAGAGCTCAGAAAAATCCTTGAAAAGGTCCAAGACCAAGATACTGCAGTCAGCAGTGCCAAACTAAGAATGGATAAACATGTGGCAGAGCTAGCCTATATCAAAGGTCATCATTTAAATAATTTTTTTCCTTTGTGAAGATGGTTTGGAATGTGTGACTGAAGTACACTCACAACATAATAAAATGTGAGTGTAAGCTTACCACTGACTTCCTGAAGAAAAAGCTCATGTAGAGTTCAGGAAAAACACCATAACTATTTGATTTTTTTACTCGTCCCTACAGAAATCTGCATATCTGAGTGGAACAATTTGTCTTTCAACCAGGTATGTATGAAGGACTTCTGCTTTTCTCATATACTTGGTTTAAGTTTTTCCTCTAGTAGAAAAAGAAAAATTTACCAGGTCATCATTTGAAGGTTTGCTTACCAACTTTATTTTCTCATTGGCTGCATGTAGTTGCCGAGACCACTGTTGAAAGCCAGTCAGTTGCTCCTAGAAAGAGAAGTCAGAACTTCTTATAATCATTATTGTCATGAGTGCATAATTAGTGGTTTTCATAAGTCAGCTGAAACTATTTTTAAAAAAAAATGGGATCAGACAGCCTTAAACACTTCTACAGCTGCCATTAACTCTCTATGTGTATGTTACCAATAACTGACAGCGCGAAACATGAAACAATCTAATAGAAGGAACACGAGCAAAAAGCTGGAACTACACACAGATCAGAGCCCTCATAACCATTACTTGAAATAATTGTGAAACTTGACAGAGCACAATAGCTCTACAGATATTTCTCCTCATTCTTGTAAAGGAGTATGTTGTTTAGGTGGACTTCATACCACAAAAAAAAAATAAAACAGTAAAAAATGTTGTTTTATAAGAGTCCTCATAACCGTTACTTGAAATAATTGTGAAACTTGACAGAGTACAATAGCTCTACAGATATTTCTCCTCATTTTTGTAAAGGAGTATATTGTTTAGGTGGACTTCATACCACAAAAGAAAAAATAAAACAGTAAAAAATGTTGTTTTATAGGTGAGCTGTAACTGTGCCCACAAGCCTAGTGTACTTGAAAATGGAAAGCAAATATTAAAAATGTGTAGCATCTCTCTACAAATCTAGAAACACTTGTAGTGAGATAAATACAGGCATGAAGTTTCTTTTTTAGTTCTTCACTTGCTGAGCACATCTATATAGCTCGCAGGGCAAAAGAGCTTCTTTTCTGAACTAAAATTTCCTGAAAGGCCTTTCCCAGAAAAAACAGAAGCAAAACAGGCTGCTAATTAGAATACTGGTGAACTTTGTTCTTCATGTTTAAACATGCTTCTTTACTGAATGACAAAAGGAAATGGTGATTTCTTTTCCCATTACCCCACTGTGATTTTACAGAGAAAATTCAGGATTCAAACATAGGAAAAACATGAAAGACTTCCACCTCAAAATTCAGAAATCTTTTCTGAATTCTATTTCTGAATTCTATTCTGCTTGAAACATGAAAGACTTCCACATCAGAATTCAGAAATCTTTCCTGAATTCTATTTTTCTGAATTCTATTTCTGAATTCTATTCTGCTGAATAGCAGCTTTTTCAAATGTTGAAATCTACTGAAGACTTCCAACTGTTCAAAATTCAAACATGATTATTTACATGCACATGCATATCTTGTGCACGTATACCTATAATGCACTGAGACTCAGTGCATTCCTCAGGCTCCTGCCAATTTACTTGAAATAAAGAACTTTTCCAGTTTTACCAGTGCCTTTAGCTGATTAATCAGTGACCACATCTGACCACTCAGCTTTAGATTACCACTACCGAAAATAATTAACAGTACTGGTAGAATCCCGTCCACTTCAGTTTGACTACACACCAACCCAGAACCACCATAGTATAGAAAGACAACCAAAAAATATTGAAAAACAACATGGAAAATTACTTTCTGCTTTTGCCTTTCAGCCACGTGAATCTGCGTTTCAGTCATGCGTTCCTGGTACTGCTGCTGGAGTCGATCATGCTCCCGTAACACAGTCTGCCAGAGCTCTATTGCTTGTTCTTTTTCCTAAGTCACAGAACAATGGTTTGCACAGAATATTCTATTACAGCACATTTACCTTCAACTGTCATTCTTCACAAAGAGAAGTCTTAACTTTTATTTTCAAGAAATGTCATTTTTCTCTACGTTTGTCTGCACACATTACATGTATGCAGACAAAATACCAAATTCAGATCCAGAAAACCAGTTCAAATTCCACCTACAAGTTCATTACAAGTTTTCTATACACATTTTTTACAGCTCGAATTTTTACAGGTATTTACTGTAGGCCTACAATAAATAGAATATCCAAATACAAAAATTCCTGTCAATTTAACTTCACATGCAACAGGATTGACACATGATTGTAATACACTAAAAAATGTTCCTTATCTTTTCAGATTTAAATATTATTGCTGTATCCCACATATGTCTGCCTCCTTATATCACATTACAATGTTTTAAATTAAAATGACAAGCTACTAAAAGAAGTTGAATTGAACAAAGTATTTAAATAATTTCCTCCTCAGGAATTCAATATGAAGATCAAGTCAGCTAAGTAAACTTAAAGGCACAAATTCATATCAAAAACTTCCTATAAGAATCTAGGACAGAAGTTCCTTCAGGTTTTTAAGTGGTAAGTACTTGTTTTTTTAGCTACAGAAAGTCCAGAGGGCCTCAAAATCTTCTCAAGGAATGCTGAACACTGCCAAGGCACAAGAGATATAAAACAGTACAAGTGTTTGATCTCACACACTTGACTTGTCAGTTGTAGTTGTTCTTGAAGGTTTCGCACTATTTCTTCATCTGCAATAATATCAGTTCCTAGAGGCATGATAGGAAGAGCCTCCATTTGCTGCTCAATAACCTCTTTCAACTCTGCATGCAGCCTGAAATGTAAAGAACTAAGTTCAGCAAACAAGTGAAGTATACTGTACCTTCAGTCTCTACGTACTATGTACTTGTAACTCATATTTAAATAATTACGTTCTATAAGCACAACAGACAGTTTGAAATAGTTAAATATCTAGTTCATTTAGAGATATGGTTAAAGCTCCTAAAATTGGTGCTCTAATCTGTGTTAAGCGCTTAAAGAATCTAACATGAAGCTTGTGAGTGTAAGATCTTCAACTATTAGGTAGATTCAAAAGATCTTAAGGACTAGAAAAAAAAGCTTTTTAAGGTTTAGAAATTAGTAAAACCAGCAGTAGTAACAGGGCAATTCAACCATTTACCTGTCATTTTCGCTGGTGACTTCTTCAACTTTTCGTCTCATCTCACTCATTTTTGCCTAACACAAAAATATGCAAGAGTAAGCACTCATTTAAGTGACACATTTTGTTAATTCTTTAATCTTTCAATTCTGACTGATACTATAAAATATGGACAATTTAACCAGGCATAACAAAGTAAATGAAAGTCACTTCCTTTTTTAAGGAAAGTCACAGGATGATAAATTTAACAGCTGCTAAATCCTATTATATCTGAGCATTGAGAAGTTACTATGGCAATTAAACTTACCTAAATTCTTACAGCTCTTACAGATTTAATTAACTCTTTTTTTTTTTTTAGGGATACAGTGAGTAACTGGATGTGAATGAGAGGACAGAGTGTATCCTCCACAAGTTCACTGACAATACAAAACTGGGAGGGGTGGCTGACACTTCAGAGGGCTGTGCTGCCATCCGGCATGACCTGCACAGGACAGAGAGCTGGGCAGAGAAGAACCTAATGAGGTCCAACAAGGGAAAGTGTAGGGTCCTGAACCTGAGAAGGAAGAATGCCAAGCACAAATACAGATTAGGGGTGGACCTGCTGGAAAGCACCTCTGTGGAGAAGGATCTGGGAGTCCTGGTAGATTGTAAATTATCCATGAGCCAGCAATGTGCCCTGGCTGCCAAGAAGACCAATGGAATCCTGGGGTGCATAAGGAAGAGTGGGGCCAGTAGGTTGAGAGAGATCATTCTCCCCCTCTACTCTGCCCTGGTGAGGCCACATCTGGAATACTGCATCCAGTTCTGGGGTCCCCAGTTCAAGAGAGATGGAACTGTTGGAGAGAGTTCAATGGAGGGCAACAAAGATGACTGGGGCATTGGAGCATCTCTCTTATGAGGAAAGGCTGAGAGAGCTGGGACTCTTTAGCCTGGAGATAAGAAGGCTGAGGGGAGACCTTATTAATGTCTATAAATATCTAAAGGGTGGTACAAGAAGGATGGAGCCAGACTCTTTGCAGCAGTTCCCAGTGACAGGACGAGGGGCAAGAGACAGAAGCTGTAACATACGAAGTTCCACTTATATATGAGAAAAAAACATTCTTTACTATGAGGGTGACAGAGCACTGGAACAGGCTGCCCAGGGAGGCTGTGGAGTCCCCTTCTCTGGAGATATTCAAGACCCGCCTGGATGCAGTCCTGAGTAATGTGCCCTAGGGGATCCTGCTTTAGCAGCGGAGCTGGACTAGATGATCTCTAGGGGTCCCTTGCAACACTGACAATTCTGTGATAACTCATCTTTTATGCAGTAAGTATTTGAGATAAGACTTCAGGAATTAACTGAGAACTTCAGTTACATAAGTCAAATGGACTGTTTTGTAAACTAAATAGTGCAACAAAAATACAAGCACAAATCGCTTTCTGTATGCCACAGGTTTTCATTACTAAATGTATCACTTTACTTTTTGTTGATCATATGAAGCATTAAAGTTTCATTTTTCTGTGGTTGAAAGGACAGCCCCCCCTCCACCTCAGCCTTCATGACAAAAAAACATTTAAAGAATTATTTTAATCTGAAGAATTATTAAAATGGTTGGGTGCATCTACACTTGCAGGACTGAACTGGACTGTATGGCCAAGATCAGACTTGTCAGGAAAGGGGAAAACAGCTGCCTCATCTGAATGTCACCTAGGAAAATACCTGCAGTCATATCAGAGCATCTAGAGAAAACATGCACATTTCATTTCACAACACTACTTCCCTGAACATACAATAATCTGTATTTGGACAAACTCCTAAACCTTTCATGGAAAGGTCTTTGTTTATCCATATGAGGCTGACTGCAGTCCAGCAAGTTTGTGAAGCATGGCACTGGCTTCCTTGCCTTTATGGACAAAACCTAATGGCTGAGATATTGATAGCATAAAATCCAAAGAATATACATTCTGAAGTGTTAGGAACATCCATACCTTATAAAGCTGCAGCTGTTCTCTCATTTCTTCCAGTTGTTTGTCATGCTCTGTGATTAGGGTTGACAAGCTAAGAAGTTGAAAAACGTGCTTACAATAAGTTTTGTAAATGCTGAAACACTGTTCTGATGATAAACTATTTTTAAAGAATTTGTAATCTAGTGAACAGAGCAGAACAGTCACTTTTCTTTATTTCCAAGTTCAACATTCACCAGAATAAAATGAACAAATTTAATAACTTGTTTAAAAGTATGACAATTAACTGCAGATTTCCTGTGTAACAGAACTAGAACACGGGACATTATAAATTAGCATTAATACAACATTAATATTTCATATAAAGAATCCTAAACTAAAGGCTAAACTTTGTTACTGCTTTCAGATACAACAGTAAAGTAAGACTATAAGAAGATGCACAGTAATGTAGTTCTACTTGTATACTTTTTCCTTCCTATTATTTTTGCAATTGATAGTAAATCTCTGAAAATTCTGTATTAGTCTAGTGATAATGTCTTAAAAGCTAACAAAAAAGACAGGCTAATGTCATAACAGGAAATTACAACTATTAATAAACAATTTAGCAATAGCCAACTGTTAGTTGAAGACTGTCAAATTATAATTTCTAAAAACCATCTGACTTCAACGAACTGCAGTTACCTGTGTTACCCTGATCAGTACAATCTTACCTGTGCTTTTGTTTTGAGATGATAAACTTAGACTAGAGAATTAATTCATTCATCTCCTTTATTTTACAGGTTAATTTACTGGATAAATGGTATAGTGTCTAAAAACAACTGCTACAGGAACACTTTTGCAGACTCCATCGACAAGTTCTCAGAACTGTGACCATGTATACAAAACCAAGTTCACCTGGATATTTACACTTTTAAAAGCACATGGCCATTTATTTTGATTACTTTGTGGTATTCCCACTAATGATTTGGAATCAGTTACCTTTGGTCCATCATCCTGGATCCTGATATGCCATTACTACCAGGGCCATTTCTCTGTAACGGTATAATTTACGTATTAGTATTTGCACATGACTGCATGTAGTTTTAAATTTTTTATATGCAACCCAAAGCTGTTGGTTTGCCTATACTGTAATCATACACAATATCCCATAAGATCACTTTCAGGTTTATGTTCAAAAATCCCTAAGTGCTGGCCAAATTTGAAAATAAATAAATAAGTTGTTTTTTTCTTTTCCTTGGAAGTGCTCCGATATAAAGCATAATGGCATCTAAGGAGAACCATCTCACTCTTAAAAGAGCAATCAGAAGTGTATATATGTGTTAAGTTCATCTCCGTGTATCTCAGCATCAGTAAAGTGCCAATGCTTCAGCTTCTGCACAGACTTTCAGACAGGCTTATGGTGCCCAGCAACAGAAGCTATCTTAGCATGAGATCAATCTCTTAGAAATTTTAAGTCTATAAAAGTGAAAAAGTCTGCAGAAGTAGAAATCAAGTATACTTTCAGGATCCTTTTTCTGGTTCTAATCTTCTAAGAGAAGACAGAGGGGATAGTAAGGAGGTAATAGTAAAACGATGCTAAGCAACAGGAAGGAGAAAGTAGCTGCCCTTGCCAGCCAAAAGAGATGCACAAATCTTGAACACCCCTTACAGATGTATTCACCTCCAACAGTGAATTATGGCATACATTCTGATAGAAGTTCTATGTATGTAGTAGCTTATCAGAAAAACAGATAATGGAATAGAGGGTGTTTCTGTCTATTACACACATTCAGTGTTTAAAACTTCGACTTCACGTTAATGAAATCGGAAAAACCAGTCCATGTATCAGACTTAGAACAGGCCTCAAGTAATTTATGTCTCAGCTGGCGTACAAGACAACTTGAAATTTGTCATTTGACACCTTTCAAAACGTATAAAGACTTGAAAGAAGAGAATTAAACACCTTGATAGAAAAGGCAACTCTTACCACTTCACGGTGAATTTAGTCTGAGCTCTATTTAGAGCATAAAGATTTATAAAATAAGAATCTACACCCAAACAAACTAAATATATATGAAAAAGCAAAATACTAGTATTTGAAAATACATTATTTGTTCACATCAGAGTATAATAAATACTCATGCAAAGCTTGATAAAGATGGGGGCTTTTGAGCCAGGATGACTGCTGGCTCTGACAAGCTTTTCTGCTACTAAGGTCCTTAGAATCGAGAGCTGACCTGTCACCTTTGGCCACCCAAAGCTGTCATACAAAGTTTAGTATCAACTGTTAATTTTCTTTTTTAATGATGCACAGCCATAGCCATTTATGCACTTAAATATGTTCCTACTTTCTGCCACACTTACCAAGTTTTCCTGTAACACTAATTAGTGATAAAGACAGTAACGTTTTTGGGATATAACATCAACCCATTCCCTATTTACAGGAATATAACCTGTGCAGAAGCAGTTTTTGCCAGTATTTGCTGGCAAGTAATTAAAGTGTAGTCTGATTCAATCATATTAAGCTTACATTAAAATTCTCAAAATTCTAACTACGAACTCTTTATGATTTTAGTCTGTAAAGCAAATTTTATGAGTAACTGGCAAGACAGCTTTTTATTTTTTCCTTTCAGGTGTAAATTGAGCATAGGAAATGCAGTAGTTGCATACCCAGAGAGAAAAGGCATTATGACAAAAAAATTCATGTGTTTTTGTCTATTATGGTCATTAGCAGCTTTGAATTATTAGTCTTCACCTAACTTAAAAACAGTTTTGCTGCTGTTTCCTAGAGCAAACACTTGAAGAGCTACCCATGATGAATCTTCAGGCAAAAGGTTTGCCACCCTGAGAGGAAACTGACCCCACTCCCCGAGGGGCAGGGTCCAGGCCCCTCAGCAGCTCCAGGGCAGCACTCGGTCCTACCCGCCGTGTGCCATGGGAACCCACGGCTTGCGGACACCTCACCTGGCTCGCCCCCTCGCTGCCGAGCTCAGTGGCCATACTCCCAGAGGAAAGCTTCACGGCCGGTCGGAGTTCCCGTCCTATAAATACCCAGGGGAAAGCCGGTTACTTCATCCTCTCGCCGCCTCACAGTGCCGGGCGGGCTTTCGCCTCGCTGCCGGGCAGGGA